CCTGCGTGTGTGTGCGCGTGCGTGTGTGCGTGTGTGTGTGTGTGCGCGTGTGTGTGTGTGTGCGTGTGCGTGTGTGTGTGTGGCAGCTGGCCAGCACAGGAAGCGAACCCTGGACCGTGGTGTTCTCAGCACCACACTCCGGCCGACTGAGCCCACTGGCCAGCCCTGTATTTCTGTCATGGTTATCTTTTTCCAGAACATTAAAATGGACGGCAATATTGAAGAATTAAAACGAAGTTGTATTAAAACTCACAATGTCACTTATTATCTTTTTACAATGTCATTATTAAGTGTAAATGTTCTATTTATACCTAAACAGAATTTATTATAATTTTACTTTCCTAGCTTTAATGGAAGCAAATTCACCAGCCATATCATAAAAATCTACATCTGGAAAAACTTAGCCACTAAACATGTATAAAGATATATGTATATATATTCATAAAGATATATATAGATGCATAAAAATGTATAGAGATGCACGAGGATCTATGTATATTTACACATTATTCCTTTTGCCGGAGGCTCTTGCAGCAATGTCGGATCCTATCTTTATTGAAAACTCTTGACATTTTGTTCCTTGTGGATTTTTTGCATTCATTTACATTTTTTAAAATATTGCATTAGTGGGTGTGGCTATAAAGGGGTAGATTTAGGGAGTCTATGGTGTGGTACATGTACCTTAATTGTGGAGGCGGCCACACGAAGTTATACATGCAATTAAACTGCATAGAGCTGCCCCCCACACACACGTGCATGTAGAACTGTTGAAATCTGCAGACTGTTAATTTCCTGGGTTGTTTTTTTCTGGTGGGGGGGGGACCTGGCTGGTACAGAGATGGCACCCTGGACCTTGGTGTTATCAGCAGCATGCTCTAGCCACTGAGATAACCAGCCAGCCCAACTTCTGGTTCTGAGGTTGCACAAGATATGAACATGGGGGAGGGTGGGAGAGGGTGGGGGAAGGGTGCACAGCCCACCCTGCACATTTCTTTGTGCCTTCCTGTGAATCTATAATTATTTCTAAATAAAAAGATAGAAACACGGCATTGACATCTTAACCATATTTTAATCAAATATGATTGATATGTTAATCATATATAAAAATATATATTAAAAAGCAAATGCATCTTTCTTGGTGATTGAGGTTTTTGACTGAGCGTCTCACCCCAGTCCTGGCCCCACTAACGAACAGCATCCACTGAGAACTTACCTGGCCAAATGCCAGGCTGGGCACTTCCCACAAATAACCCCCAGCCCCCTCCAGCCGGAGCTGGGGATTCCACGGTCTCTCCACCTGACGCTGAAGACGTGCTTCTAACCACTACCTTACCCTGCCTGTTGGGATCCTGGCAAGCCAGACTCCAGATCACACCCTCATGTTGTATGGATGGGGAAACTGAGGCCCTTTGGGTTCCCCCTTTGTAAAATGATGTCCTTAGGGTCCCCCCACCCCCTGCAGCAAGTACTTGGTCCAGGGGGCCCTCAGGATCTCCTCTGGGGGTCACAGGGGAAGTACTGAAATGTCCCCATACATGCAGTGTCCTCATTAGGAAAGTCCAAACTCTTTCCTGAGCCCTCCAAGCCCGTGTGACCTCTGCTGACCTCTCTGATGTCACTGGCTGCCACCCCTCCCCCCACCCCACTCCTGCCACTCTGCCCTCAACCGGTTTTTGCCTCAGGACCTTTGCACGTGCTGTTCCCCCTGCCTGAGACTCCATTCCAGATCTTCTTGGGGCTGGCCTCTACCCCACCTTCCCGTGTGAGCATAGACGTCATCTCCTGAGTCACACTGGCCTGGGCTCCCATCCCCGCTTCACTGTCGTGGTGCAAGTTTATCTTCTTCACACGCAGCAGGTGTCTGAAATGATCTCATCCAGTTCTCTGGGAGATCATCTCCCCTAGTAGATCATGAGCTCTGAGAGGGCAGGCACCCTGGGGTTCTTGTTGGTCACAGTTGTGTCCCCAGCATCCAGGACAGGGCCAGGCAAACAGTGGTGCCGATTACACAATGGATGAATGAATGAATGAATGAATGAATGAATGAATGAATAGAAGGTGTCTCAGTTCTTCCTCCCAGTCTGTCCCCGTACCAGGCCTTACCTCTTCCCTGGAGACCCCTGTCCTGGCCCGGTCGGGGTGGGAACAGACGGGACGTGGAAAGCCCACGGGGCAGGGAGGTGGTGGGAGGAGGAGGGAAAGGTTTTTCCTGCTCAGTCCCCCACCCCGGCCTCCTGTGAGACTCTCCCTCCCCACACCCACATCACCCTCAACCCCTCCATCACCTGCTCCACTCCTGCATCCCCCCTCCTCTGTCCTCTGCCCCCATCCCCCACCCTTCATGACCCGCACCCCACCCCAAAGAAGAGGCACCATGCTGGTGGGGATATAGGATCCACTTCTTTATTGCATGAAGACTATGTCTAGAGCAAATGCTACACAGACCCCACAACAGGGGGCAGGGGGCACCCACATGCGGGGGTTGAGGGGGCAGGGGCAGTCACAGCAAGCATGGCCTGGCACAGTCCCCAGCACCAGGGATGCCCAGGCAGGATGGGCCAGTGACCTGGGCAGGCTCTGGTCCCCTCCAGCTGCAGAGCCCCTCTCTCCCTAGGGTTGGGCCGGGCCTGGGATGGGAGAGGCCTGGAAGTGGGTGGGGCCCCAGGGAGATTGTGCTATCAGGGTGTGTCCCTGAGAAAGGGCCGCAGACCCCTGCCCAGCCCCACTCTCTTGGGCACCTCAAGGCCCAGGAGCCACTCCCAAGGTGGGGGAGGGGATAACTCCAGCTGCTGGTGGCCCCCGACCAGCCAAAGGTTCAGGGGCTCAGCTATGCTTAGACACGATGCTACGAGCTCTTCCAGGGCTCTGTCCTGTGCTGGGCAGACACACACACACACACACACACACACACACACTTTCTTGCTCAGAGTGTACCCAGTAAACATCTCTTGAGTGCACAGTCATCCTGTGCTGGGCAGACACACACACACACACACACACACTTTCTTGCTCAGAGTGTACCCAGTAAACATCTCTTGAGTGCACAGTCATCCTGTGCTGGGCAGACACACACACACACACACACACACTTTCTTGCTCAGAGTGTACCCAGTAAACATCTCTTGAGTGCACAGTCATCCTGTGCTGGGCAGACACACACACACACACACACACACTTTCTTGCTCAGAGTGTACCCAGTAAACATCTCTTGAGTGCACAGTCATCCTGTGCTGGGCAGACACACACACACACACACACACACTTTCTTGCTCAGAGTGTACCCAGTAAACATCTCTTGAGTGCACAGTCATCCTGTGCTGGGCAGACACACACACACACACACACACACTTTCTTGCTCAGAGTGTACCCAGTAAACATCTCTTGAGTGCACAGTCATCCTGTGCTGGGCAGACACACACACACACACACACACACACACTTTCTCAGAGTGTGCCCAGTAAACATCTCTTGAGTGCACAGTCATACAAACACAGAGGAAAACACACATGCTGATACCAAGTCAGATGCAAAATGTCCCTCTTACTTACCTACAGACAGTCCCACCTGGGCACATGACTATATAGCCACACACATGTGATGTCTCTCTCTCACACACACACAAGCACACACACATGCATGCAGTCTCCTCACACTCAATAAGACTGTAACATCTGTCCGGTCAGGACTCTCTCATCCTTTCTGGCTTATCTGCCATGTTTCAAGCTTCCCTATGGAGAGGCCCATGTGGCAAGGAACTGAGAGTGGCCTCCAGCTGACAGCCAGCAAGGAACTGAGGCCCTCAGTCTTGCTACTGTAGGGAACTGAGAGCCGTGACAACCATGTGAGCTTAGAAGCCAATCCTTCCCCAGTCGAGTATCAGATGAGAATGCAGCCCAGCCAATGCTTTGATCACAGCCTTGTGAGATCCCTAGTAGAGAACCCAGCTAACCCATACCCAGGCCCGTGACCCACAGAAATGTGAGATAATAAACATGTGTTGTTTCAGGTTGCTACATTTGTAGTCATTTGTTACATGGCAATAGCTGACTGATACAGACTTTGGGCTGAGAGTCATCTTGCTACTCAGTCCAACAGTCACTGTGTTCATCAGATGGTTAGAACAGGGCTACAGATAAACACTCTCAGAGAAATCATGTCACCTACCCTGAAAATACAGTCACGCTCAGGCAGGTGCAAAGATTCACACAGACACATCACAAATATCCAGTCCTATGGACAACCACACACACGTACCCACACTCCCCACCCCTACGTATACCATACACCATTATTACATGCACAGACTGCTGCAAAAATATACCATCCCAACGACTGACACATGCACAGGGACACACGCAAATATGTGCTTAGACACAAGTCATCTGTTCACACACACCAAGTTGTGCAAATACACCGTTCCATAGTCACCTTGATGTGTGTTGGGTTCATGCAGCCCCATGGGGTCACATGAGTGTAGAACTATCCAGACACTCCCAATAAGACACCTGGTATCTCACAGCTACAGATATACCCCGACTCCAGGACAACACCCTCCTGGGCAGGCACCTCTCTCTGGGGTGCAGGGGACGGAGGAAGTGGGCTGAGCCGAGGTCTGCCTGGAGCTCCCTCAGATCCTGCTGGTGCTGGGTCCCCTTGCCTGCTCTCCAATGGGGACACAGTCAGTGTCTCTCTGGCCAGGGCCCCAGGCACCCCCTTCCCAGAATCCTAGATCCCCTAACCAGGGGGTCGGTGATGACGTGTCGCTGGGGCAACATCTCTGTCTTGATGGAAGGGGCTGGTCCCCAGATGGGTGGCGACCAGGAAGCCCCTCCACGCTCACAGGGCCAGGGTCTGCCTGTGCCTCTCCAGAGGGGCAGTCCTCACTGGGCAGCCCCCAGAGTTGTGCTGTGGCTGTCAGCTGGTCCTGGGCCTCCTTTAGTCCCCACCCCGCCTACAGGGGTGGGATTTGGGGCTGATGGGGACATTGCTGCAGGCCCTGTGGTTATTGCCTGGGGGCCTGAGGCCCATTCCATGGGGGTCCCCACCCCAGTGTGGGGACAGAGGTGAGAGGGGTGTTCTGGGACCCGGGGAGCGGTCACAGGTCAGAAGTCATGAGGGATGGGGGGGGGTGTGTTAAAACACCAAATAGGAGAGAAAAAGAAATGTGAGTTCGATGTGCATTTCAACTCCCCCCTCCCCCGGAAGGTCACAGTGATCAAATGTGGGGATGGGCACAGGTCTGGCCGGGGGAACCCAAGGGAAAGGGACTGGGACCATGGGGGGGGTCCTCGAGCAGAGACAGAGAAGACGCGGCCTCGTCCTCTCCAGCTGGGACACGCAGGTCCTCTCATGGGCTCCCGTTTTCCCATCTGCAGGACAAGGGGCCCCTCCAGCACGTGGTTTTGGGGATGCAGACAGAACGGGAGGGCAGAGAGAGGGGGACAGAACGGGGGGGAGCCCCAGCCCTGCCTCGGTTTCCCCAGCTGAGATGAGAGACGAGGAGGAGGAGGAGGAGGCGGCAGCAGCGGGCGGGGCGCGGTGGCGGGTGGCGGGTGGCGGGTGGCGTGGCGGCTCACATGAGGGTGCACTTGCCCTTGATGCGGTCTGTCCGCTTCTGCTTGCTGGAGCGCTTGCCGTCGATGCTCAGGCTCATGTTGCGGCGCGTCTCCAGGGTGAGCAGCTCCTGGAAGAGCTCCTTGACGTTGTAGTTCATCTTGGCCGACGTCTCCATGAAGGCGCACTTCCACTCCTGCGCCACGGCCTGCGCCTCGCGGGTGTCCACCTCCCGCTGGGTCTCGTCACACTTGTTCCCCACCAGCATGACCGGGATGTCCTCCACGCTGCCCTTGATCTGCACGATGAGCTTGTAGATGGGCCCCAGCTCCTCCAGGGACTGCTTGCTGGTGACCGAGAACACCAGGATGAAGGCGTGGCCTTTGGAGATGGACAGTCGCTGCATGGCCGGGAACTGGTGGCTGCCGGTGGTGTCCGTGATCTGCAGCGTGCACACGCTCTTGTCACAGCTGATCACCTGGCGGTAGGTGTCCTCGATGGTGGGGATGTAGGTGTCGCGGAACGTGCCCTTCACGAAGCGCAGCACCAGCGAGCTCTTGCCCACGCCGCCCGCCCCGAACACCACCACGCGGTAGTCGTTGCTTTGCTCGGGCATCTTCCCGCGGCGGGGGGCGGGGGGCTCGGAGGGCTGGTTCCAGCTGCTGGAACCCCAGACCACCGACCCTGTGCAGAGAGGAGTGTCAGATGCAAAAGCTCACCCAGCTGGGAGGGGACAGCCCCGGTCCTGGGGGATGGAGAGGGGTGGCTTCTTGTGTGGGGGGGTGTTAGTCGTCCCCTGTCCTGGGAAGGCCGTTCGGGTGGATGTGGCTGACTTAGTGACACTGCCCTGCCTGTGGGCTCACAGCTAGCCTCTTCCGCTTGCTTCCCCCACAGCAAAACCTGGGGCCTAGGCTTGCCCAGGGGACCCTGAGCTGGAAGAGGTGTGGGGCTGGACGGGACACACACCCAACTCCTTCCCCAGCACACGCCATCCTTCCAGAATGTGCCGGCTTCCCCGTCTCTTCCCAGTGTGGCTGAGGCTCCCATCCCCATATCCCAGTTGGTGAGACAGAGTCTCCAACAACCACAGGCTCCCTGCTCCCCTCAGCCCAGAGCTTCCTAGACCTTGTGGGAGCCACGTGGTGGTGGTGCTGAGGGGGACACGCTTGGAACGCAGATTTCAGGGCCTCAGCCCCGGACCTGATGCATCAGTTGGCCCGGGACCACAGCCCTGGAAACTTGCATTTTGAAGCTGTCCCCTTTTCCCCACACAAATGTGGCCCTGATGCTGGGGGTCCAAGAACCACAAATGTGCAAATCATGCCGCTGAGTCCTGATAGCTGCCCCAGGGAGCCCAGGTTGAAGATGAGAAAACTAAGACTGCGCTAAATAGAAAAATCCCCACTTCTGTGCCCAGGCTACGGTGTGCCGCGCCCTGGCCTCCTGTTCAGGCTTCAGGGACAGCACTACCTGCAAGGGGGGCCTCTTTTTTCTTCTCCCCCCACCCCCGTGCACAGAGAGGTCCAGCGGCCTGGGCAGACAACACAGCACAGAGACTCCCGCACTGATGAAGGTGGCCCAGAACCTTGGGTGGGGACGGGAGGCAGGAGACCTGTCTCCAGAATCAATGTCCTCATCTATATAAAGCAGGGGAGACCCTGTCTCTCTCTCCTTCCCAGCTGTCTCAGAGGGTCCCTCCACAAGGGGGTCTAAAGTGGGAGAGGAGACTGCCGTTTGGACCTGCCCTCCCTCCACCGCCTGCACACTTTGGGTAAGTTCCTTCCCTCGGGCACGTATGAGCATGACGGGGCATCAGAGCCAGGCAAGTGCCAGTGGCGAGAACAGGACAAGCAATCTCACGCACCGGAGGCTCGGTTTTCACATCTGAGAAAAGTGAGCAGTCCCGTGCCTACGCCAGGGGGTCGGTGGGACCAGGAATGTGATGAGGTGGCTAAAGCCCTTAGGTGGGTGTCTGGCCTGCAGAAGCCCCTGACAAAGACGGACGGTCACCGTTATTGCCACACTCGCCAGGGCTGCTGGGGTAAAGCTCTTGGCTGTACCAGTCGGTTGCAAAGGTGTGCTCGAAGTGATCAAAGGTACCAGATTTGCCAGGGAAAGAGAACTATGACAAAGGGACAGCCGACACATGGCCCGGCTGTCGTGTGCGAGGCAAACTTCCGGGCGCTTCAGCGGTGCTAACGCGCCTCGCTGACTGTCGGGTACACAGATCACACGCACAGCAGTTGCCAGTGTTGGGAGGAGGCTGGGGGCAGGAGTGGCGGGAGGTGCCGGCTGGCTCTGCAGACATTGCCCCTTCCTGGGTGGGCACCCTGAGAAGTGGGCCTGCTTGTGTGTGGCCAGACACTGCCGCGACTGGCCTGGGGACCTGGG